GAAAAGGGAAGTTTTCAGTTTCCATTAAAATCTATTGTGCCCGTGACACGGCGATTGTCCGAACGACTCATCCTAACAGCGATTAGTTAATGAACTCTGACAACTTATTATGAAGCAATTACAAGCGAAATTAGTAATTTTCGACGTGACCTCTGCGGGCTTCGTGGGATTTAATTAACGATTTTTAATATTCGTCTGGCCTCTCTCTAGGCTGATCCACAAGGCTGGTTGTTTATTTTTTACCTAGCACGTAACAACACCGGTAATTGAATCCCGCTGAGGGACAATGTTAGTGGTGGGTGAGCACGATTATTATTTACCACCTGTAAATATACAGGGTACCACCTAACCATCGATAGGCCTCGCCATCGTAATAATGTAACTCATATAAAATTAAACATAAGTTACTTCGTGACCGTGGCGCTTGCAACAGTGCCAAAATATCGGAAACTCAAAATTAAGGTACATGGTAGCAATCCCGTAAATAATAATTATTTATTACATAATGTACCTATTTAACTTGTAGCTAATAAGTACAGATTCACTAACAGCAAATAAAAATGTATAAATAAGGTAAACGGCTACTAGTTCGTGATAGTACGTAAGTTCGTAAGTTTTTTTTCTAGCTCAAATAATAAGCAAATGGAATATTATTTATAAAAATTCTTTATTACTACAAAAACTCTATTATTTAAGCTATCTAAAAAACCAAGTACCAACATTGTGGCGCCAAAAATGAGAGAAATACGAAGCTTCAAACTCTCAGAGAGCCAAAAACAGCCGTGCGGCGTGAAAATGTTGCTCTCGCCGTAAGGTTAGCGCTCCAACTTCTTAAGCTTATAGAAAGGCGAAGAAACTTCCATTTGCATAAAACTTGTAATAGTGGTTTCATGTGTTCCTTGACAATTGATTTGGCTTAGAAAAAAGTTATATGAAAACGTAGAATTCCTTTAAAATTGCGATTAATTGACTCACGAAATAGCGTACATATTATTTTTCGGGTGTCCCCTGTTTCGTGATACTACCGAATCAAGGATATTATGGATAATATTTTGATGCTTGGTTTTTAAATAATTATTTATGATAATTGAAATGTAAGTTATGAAACAAATAATACATTTATTTAAGTTTCTCATGATCTAAATTCGGTATATGTTTCGTTCACTAGAATTTATATGACACGAGTTTGAAGTTCACATAAATGACCAATTTTAAGATAAATTAGCATAAGTACTACCAGCGTAATTTTGGTTTTAATTCGATTCGTTTTATTTTTCTTGGTTTATTTGTATTTTATATGGGATAGATAATAGTTAATTGACACAATTTGACAATAATCCATGAATTTTACTTGGGGAATTTGGAATAATCAGTATCACGAAACAAGGAACCGTAATTATGGTTACTTTTTCCCAAGTTCGTGATATATAAATGTATAGTGTTAGGTACTTGTATGACATATAACATCAACGAAATCGACATATTTTTTAGTTTTTAATACTTACCTACCTAAGTAATAAATTAATTAATTTTTATTATGAGTCATTGGCGTATATGGTGCTATTTTCAGAGGGGGACGGACTACCCTTACTTGAAGCAGCTCCAGGGGTGGGGGGTTAGTCCCCTCCTCCCTCATTTTTTAAACTTAGACTTGTATGAATATTTTCACATATCGTTAGAAATAAAAAATCTAAATTTTATGAGTACGAAGGGGAGGGGGGGGGAGGTAAGGCCCCCCTACATTTCTGATGATTATATAAATATTTTCACATATTGTTAGAATAATAAATCAAAACTTTATACGAAGGTACGTACCTACCTAGCTAGACAGACTCACATTATTTCTTATGAATATTTCAGGTAGGTAAGTAATATCGTCAATTTCACAGAATTCTTTTATTCTAAATGTATACTATCGTTTTCAAATTTATTAAACCCTTAATCATTATTAAAATATCCTAACTCGATGCGTAAAACTTTATCCCGAATTAGGGGACATGAGTTCACGAACTTAGAAACAGAGCAAAATTTTATCACGAAACAGGATCCAAACAAGAGGTCCGCAGAACAATTAATATTAAAAAAAGTTCAAACAATATAACTATAATTTATGTATTAAGTTACTGTCAAAAGACCAAAGTTTAGCATACAAAAGCTTTCATACTGATATCATGCTTAGTTATTTTTAAATAAATTGTTAAAGTCGTAAGAGCCTTAATATACCGAAGTAGGGGGCACTTACCTTATGTGTCTCACCTAGGAATTGAAACCTATGTCTAACCACTGGGTTACATGGCGTTAGACCACTAATTAATTAGGTTTGTAGGCATAATTCATAACAGTTTATTCATAATTCAATATCTGGTTAATTAAATTATAGCCTCACGTTCTGAACAATTCTGTGCAACAGATTTGTTTCTACTCGTACTTTCGGAGTGCACGAACTTGTTAGAGCACTACGTTGAACAACTGTTTCGTGAGTTTATTTATGTACGATTTAGACATTTCAGTCGCATTGATGTCAGACTTAACGAAAGTAGGTATAGAGAAGAGACTTAACACTTATGTAAGGCCCTAGCAGAAAACAACAGGCTCTTATCCCACAATCGAGTTTAACGCCTAAAACAAAAAGTAAATTCAAGGCTCACTTTTTTCAGCTCCACTCCAGTACATTTTTGCCCTCAGGCATTCCATCAGCATCCAGGACTCATTTAATAGAGTTGGGACAAAAATGTGTTTCCACTTTAACAATTCAATATTACTTTCATGTTATAGCGTTTAATGTATTAAAAATAATAAAAGTGAATTGCTGTTCGTTAGTTTCGCTAAAACTCGAGAATGGCTGGACCGATTTGGCTGATTTTGATTTTGAAATTATTGTTGTAGTCCAGGGAAAGTTCAAACGGTGAGAAAACATGGGAAAATTACGATTTTGCGGTCACAGCTTGTTAAAAATAAATAAAACCACGTGACGTGAAATAAAACACTTTCATAATTATATTTTTATATTTAACAAGTTAATGATCTTCGGTCAAAGGTAACAAAAGATTACAAAAAGACACTGACAACATAAGTAACGTGTGTCAAACACGCTATTAAGTATAAGCATTCACTCAAAAACATCATCTGAAAAATATGCTACAGAAATAGTGGCAAGCACCAACGATATAACGAAGATATCAAAAATTAAAAACAGTCACTGCGTGCCGGTTTATCTACCTTAGTCTTATCACGTTTTTTATACTATACATAATATAAAACTGTATATCTACTCGGTCACAGAAACTTTAGAGCTCAAGATACGAAAAATCTACATATGGGGCATTTAAAAACGAACGCATTTTAATTGAATCTCTTGTCCTTTTAATAGTAGAAAGTTCATCGTTTAATTGCGCTTGAATGTTGCACCATTTATTTTGTTCTAATATTTACATGTAATAATTAAAAATACATAAACTCGGATTAACTATTTTAAGTCAGTAATTGAACATAATGTGACAAACTAAACGAAGATAAATATGGGTGAAAAACGCAATGAATTTTTAATGAATGAGTAACCAAGCCGTTTGCATAAACATAATACATTATACCTACCTATGTATAAATTATATTGTGAAGAAGATTTTGAACGTATTTTTAGTTCATCCTAACGTAATATCAGACCTTTAACACAATTTCGAGGTTAAAGCAAACTAGAAAACGTAAAATTACTGACTCTTATAGAAAATGTATTTACTATAGTAACATTATTTGTGCATTAGTTCCATAAACACCTAACTAGCCAACCTCTAAATGCCCGCCATAGTAAACAAGTATGGCACGATGCGAGTTTATTATTATTATTGTACTATAATAGCGTAATCATAATTCAATCGTTGTCCTCCATTTGACATCGTTCGGTACCGTGTACCTACTTGTAAATTAGCACCTATATTCATAATATATCCTTTAAGTACTACTAAACATATCAAAACAATGGATACCGTAAATGAAATTCAAATATAATACTGTACATAAGAAATTTTGAAAAATAAATAAGCCACTCTTAAAATACAAGAATTCGGTAGGTACATATTCTATACTAGCGGCCGCCCGCGACTTCGTACGCGTGGATCCCGTTTTACCCCCTTCATCTATCTTACGCGGTTTAGATTTTTTCATACAAATGTTTTTTCCCGCTAACTCCTGTTCCCGTGGGAATTTTGCAATATCCTGTTGTAACTAAGCTTTAAGTTTACTAAGGTACCTGCATGCCAAATTTCAAGCGTCTAACTTAAGCAGTTTAGATTTTTCATACAAAAGGATTTTCCCGCTAATTCCCGTTCCCGTGGGAATTCCTAAGTATCCTATAACCTGCCCAGGAGTACGAAGAATAATTGTACCAAGTTTCGTTAAAATCCGTCATGTAGTTTTTGTTTCTATAAGGAACATACAGACAGACAGACAGACAGAAAGACAGACAGACAGACAGACAGACAAAAATTTTACTGATTGCATTTTTGGCATCAGTATCGATCACTAATCACCCCCTGATAGTTATTTTGAAAATATATTTCATGTACAGAATTGACCTCTCTACAGATTTATTATAAGTATAGATTATACAGACAGTGTATGATACAATTGTTCTAGCAATATATTTGGTCGCAATTTCTACCTTATGCGATTGAGTTTCTTCCGAACATCTTAACATTAGACGCAATAAGACATGTATTTTATAATTGGATATGAGATGAAGTTCATTCGACTTAAATATTAATAATTACCAGTTATCATACACTCAGCTCAATCGCTAAAATATGTTTATAGCAGAACGCACCAAATCGCCTTAGCTCTAATCTCAGTAAAAGACTGTAAGTAAGGATACCATTAAAAGACTCTATAGCCCAGAACAGACGGTGAAACGCAACTGCAACGAAACTGCATCTGCTAGTTACTTTTGAGTTGCATCTAAGTTTCTGCCATAGCGTCCGTTGAGAGACCACATATAACGCGACCAGTTTGAAACTTTCAGTTTTAGTTTCATTCATCAGAATCATCACAAAGTTGCAGTTTCGTTGCAGTTGCGTTTCACCGTCTGTTCTGGGCCTATGACTACTAGACAGACTGTACTAAACAGGATATCGCTCTTAAAATTGCTGTTATAAATCAACAGATCATTTAGCCGATCGAAAGTCAGAAAGAACAGTCGAAACTAACAGTTATGGCGTTTAATGAGACCTATAAAATGTTGTCATTATTTACATGTACATTTTATTTACGTAATTAAAAGTTGTTTTAGGTCCCGCGTAATTTATTTCTGAACAAACGTTTGTCTAGTAGTCTTTGATACTTTAAGTGTTTGAGCAATAAAAAAATATTAGATACAAAAGTTAAACAGTATTTAGGAACTGTAGTATTACAGCGCATAAAATATAAACATTTTAATATAACAAACAAAACCTAGAACCAAGTTACAACCAACGGAAATGCTTCATGAGGTACAGAACTGTGTTAGAAAATAGATTACACCTACTATGACTCACTGGCCCACTTCTGGTGTATGGCTTTGAGATGGTCGAACGCTCTATTGGTAATATTGAGCGTGGGTATTATTTCTAAGAGGCCGTTTTCTCCAATGAGACTGAGTCCAGCCAGTCCTAAATAAGTGTGCATAGGATCGGTGCACGTGTCAGGCCATTTGGAGAAGCCACCGACCACGGAGTCTTGAGTTTCGTAGACGTACTTCCTATTGCTGGAATAGTTGGTCATGTGTAGGACGTCTAGTATTTTTAATGAGGCGCCTACCCAGAAGCTGTAGCAGGTGTCGACTGACTTGTTGGGTCGGCCTTGGAAGCCGTCGACTTGGCGGAAGAGCAGCCACCGTTTTAAACCCTCGACTTGCTCTTTGGAGAGTTTGTCCAACTGGTTCGTGAGACTCAGGGTAGCGAGCGCACAGAATGTGGTCCCGCCGTGCGATTCTAGCTCCGGACATTGAGCAATTCCGAAGTCATAGTTCTGCAACAATGGATAAATTGGTCTTCGGTATTTGAAGTAAGCAGGTAAACTATCCACTATCTACTAGTAACTAGAAATCTCAATTAGGAGCCCAAACAAATATTGCTCGAAATTGTCGAGCATTCCCCAATGAATACAAGCCTCTCGTTTTCGCCAATCACGACGCAATATGTGTAATCTCACAACTCACAGTGAAAGGTGACCGAACCACATTTTATGACAAGCTTGCCTTGACATTGGGCGCGGCGTTTAGCGGTGGAGAAAGTTCTTTTGAAACTGGTCAAAGCTGAAAGGATGTGACGTATTGTGCATACAGTAACCCTTCTCGCCATTTATTCAAGTTGAAGCTAATTAAATATTTGGGCCTGCTATACTCCATACGGTTGGGTCTCGCAGCCCGAGGGCTTCGCTGCCAAGTTGCCATGTTTGTAGCGCTATCATGTCTACTAACATACACTCACTGCTGCGTCGTTACAAGAGGCCTGTTGCGGCCTAGATACGATGCTTGCTCTCTAGGGAGATCTAGGGTGGTTAGAGTAGGAAGATAAACAAATAGCGCACAATGGCCCAAGCCAGCCCAAGCCCAGGTCAAGAGGCTAAAGTATTCGATTGCCTTGCAAAACAACCTAACACCACAGAATAATAATAAGTACTACGTACAGAAGTTTTACTTCGCGAAGGTATTTAAAAAAATGTATGCTCAATGTCATTAACAATATGGTGTAATTTAGCCTGTTTCAAGAGTCTAGCGCCATTTTGTTGCCAAACGTCAGTGATCGGCACTGCGCCGAAGCTATAGGGCTGACTTCGGTAAAATTATGTGACGTGAGGTGCCAAACTGCAGAAAATGGCGGAGGAAATACATGATTTAGCATGAATTATCATGAATAATATTAACTACTTATTTATCTCTCAGTGTCTTGAGGCAACTTAAAAAATTACATTCTGTGTTTTTATTATTATTTAGGCAGTTAAATACTGCACAGTATTTAGTATACCATTTTCTTTATTTTCTTTCATCATACACAAGCATACGCGTGCGTGAGTCAATGTTCGCTCGTATGTGAGGCCTTGTCGAATAGTATCCTGTAGGTGGGCCATAGTGCGTGTTTTGTTTTCGATGTAAACTCGCGGAGATGAACAGGCCTGCTAACACTCACAATGGACTTGATGATGTAGTCCGTCGCCTTGGGCACGTCGAACCCGGACCAGTCGTCGAGGATGTAGCTGATGCACGCGGCGCAGTATAGATGACCCACGCTGAACTGTCCCACCAAACTCAATGACAGGGTGGCGCTACCATCGTTCAACTATATGGTTTCCAACATGGCAAGATCCGGTATTGACGGTGGCGCCCCACTGTCAATGTTATGCATAGGACAGTTCAGTATTTTGGAACTATACACGAAGCGCATGTCCAACCAAAAAATTTGGACCTACTATGTTCTATCATAGTTCATCGTTAGTCAAAACGTACACTAATATCTACACTTACAATATACTTGATGATAATTATTATGACCGCATGTCTGACCCGAAGTTGCCTTCTATCTGTAGTGCTATGCGTCTACTAACACACTCACAATGGACTTGATGATGTAGTCCGTCGCCTTGGGGACGTCGAACCCGGACCAGTCGTCGAGGATGTAAAGCCTGGTCCGTGAGCACGTAGAATCCCGTCCAAAGACCCCAAGCTACCCATCCCTATCGCTCGCGCATAATTATGTTGCTGTCGCGACTGTGCGACGGGCGCCCGCAGTGAGTGTGCGAGCGCGACAGCAACATAATTACGCGAGCGATAGGGATGGGTAGCTTGGGGTCGTTGGACGGGATTCTACGTGCTCACGGACCAGGCTTTAGCTGATGCACGCGGCGCAGTACACGAAGCGCATGTCCGACTCGCAGCCCGAGAGCGTTGCTGCGAAGTTGCCTTCTGTCTGTAGCGCTATCACTGTTTATAGCGCTATCGCGTCTACTAACACACTCACAATGGACTTGATGATGTAGTCCGTTGCCTTGGGGACGTCGAACCCGGACCAGTCGTCGAGGATGTAGCTGATGCACGCGGCGCAGTACACGAAGCGCATGTCCGACTCGCAGCCCGAGAGCGTTGCTGCGAAGTTTCCTTCCTCTGTCTGTAATGCTTTCACACCTACAAACGGAATCAACTATGAAATACTATCATACCTAAAATTAGTAATTAAAATTTTTTTTTACTACTAGGCCCCTTAATGATCAAAAGTTACACCTACAATGAACCCTGGAATAAAATTACATTTCACTAAATGACAATTTAACCCATTAACGCCCAAATGAAAACTACGGCCAATTTCCCATAGCCAATGTTTATTTTCTTTATAAAAATACTTCAGAAATAATACTAAACACAAAGAAAACCAAAATCATAATCAGAAGTTAGGTTTTCAGGGGTGTACTAAGTTTAGTACAATGGGCGCTTATGAGTCATATTGAGCAAAACCTTCTTCATCCTGGCACAGTGTTTTCAGGCACATGCCATAAGCTGATTTGACTCTATTGAAACACACAGTAATTTTAAGCTATCAAATCAGCTTGTTTGCTGGTTTATTTTGATTATAACCATTATTTCATATTTCTTCTCCATCAAGTAGAGCAAGAATACCTACTTTTATTTATCTTTTATAAGTCAAATATGTGCGTACTATATATTTGCGGAATGCTAGCTGATCTAAGCGACTATATGGGTTTACTATGCAGTGCAGTCTGCATGCATTTGAAATTGTCATGTCCACCATATAAGCTAACAAGACCCATCCACCGCTTTTTTTCCTTTTTCCTCAATTTGGTAAAGTTCTATAGACTAGTCATCTAATCTAACCCACTGATCTTCTTATTATACTAGAGCTGGACACCCTGTGGTGCCTAACTCTACTTTTTTTTTATCAAGAGACCCCATATAATGACCTTTCCCAATGGTTCTAAAGCGTCAACATTTGTTTCAATGGTACCCACATTATTATCTTTCAATCAATGCTAATAAAATGACGTTTGCCTTGTCGAATCTGTTTCTAGGCTTTTTGTGAAAATCTTTATAAGTAATCAAAGGATACCTTTTGGTTCAGTTTTCACGTGTGGTTCCAAAAACTATGTAACTAAGTCTCTTTAGGTCGACAAATAGGTCGTAATTGGGAAAACAAAATGTTTCTTTTTGTTGTCTGTAACTCCATAAATAAAGAGCCATGTTATTGGAAAAAGAAAACAAAGATTACATATAAAAACTATGCAGAAATAAGTAAACACTCTAATAATAATGTCGTTACTGTACTATTTTACGTAACGTGTCAAGCGCCCATTGTACTAAAGTTTGTACAGCATCACTTTGGGAGTTATAGCATGAAAAACTTTCCATGAAATGAACTTTTCTATGTATTTTTTATTAGGATATGTTGTTAGCTAATACACAAACAACTTATTTGGTATTTTGTGTAACTTAAACCTTGCATAAAAAATTATCAAGTACCCACTAGAAGACATGAAAAAATCACTGAAACGGAATCGCAAAATACCCCCTTAAGATTGTATAATTATGGTCTGTTTCATCTCAGGATATAATGCATAGACCTTTGTTTACCGATTGTAATTATTTCCAGGGTAAAAATACTCACTAAACCAGATTTATCGTAACTTAAAGTTGTGTACTATTTATTGTACGGCGGGCGTTAATGGGTTAAGCCAGATTTCAACTAAGGTATAACTGAAAGAAAATAAAATAGCAATCAATTCTGTCTATTTAAAAACTATAATACAGCTACACAACAATGCAGCACCTATGCTGTAATTGAAAATTGTCAAAATCAGGTCATAAGTTCAATTCTATTCCCATTTGAAGTCTATCTCTGACTGTGTTTTTATGATTGCATTTCCTTACTACAAGTGAGAGAGATTGGTAAAAATGGGATTATTTGGTAAATCACCCTGCTGATTAGGAACATAACATGATATTTATAGTAAAAATATTACCTTCAACCAATGCTCTCCTATTTATCCTTGACAAATCATCACCCAGGGTCAACAGTATGCACAGACCAGTGTACGTCATTGCAAGGTGGCCACATCGGTAGTGGCTGTTGGCAGCACCGAGGTCTATATTGATCGTTGAGGACCCCTGGAATCCACATGATGACATGTCGCCATCTGGTAATAGTTTAAAATTATGTAAAATCAATGGTCTGAAAACCTTGATTTATGTTTATTGATAATAAAAGGAAGGAAGGAATGACATGTTACATTAAATCATGACTGTGCTTGTGCATATAGGCTTATTCATAAAATCTCAAACATCAAATCTTATGATTTAAAAATCAGTTAATATTTGTTTCTTTTAAAACCTTAAAAAACATTATTACAAGGTCTATTTTAACACTGCAATAAAGCAGACCCATAAAAACCATTTGAAGTAGACGATATTGAGCATTACAGAGGTGATAAGAAGATACAGTAACCTTTATTTATTCTCAGTGGCTTTATGACAGGTGCTATCAACAAAGGATAATATTGGAGTAAATACATTTTATTAGCCACAATGTAGTATGTATTTACATAAGGTTCAGTGAATTCTACTAAGTAGCACAACTATAATGTTTATTGTGAGTCATTCAACCTTGGGATGCTAAATCAAGCAACAATAATCATAAATGCTATTCTTTTCAACAGAAAACTTAATTATGAATAGTTATGCTCTACTAACTCATATAATATAAAACTAAATAGGTACCTATATAATATAACACAAACAATAGTATTCAAAACCACTTAAAATGTTTAGACCAAGTATAAAAGCTTATAGTTTGGTGAATGAATAAATTTGCTTGAGGCATATAATCTCTCCCAATTTGTTACTAAAATCTACGTATTTAATAGAATTTCTGTAATCTCTTAACATTTTACAAAATCTACAAAGTCAAAAAGTTTTCTTCAAAGCCCACAAACTGTAAAATACTCACTTTCTTTGCTGGGTTGAACTTGTAACTGGTACACCCAGTCTATAATCCTTTCCCTCAACTCCAAAGCAATAGAGGATATGGAGCCAAGAACATCTAAGCCACAAACCGAGAAGTAAGCGATGGTAACTCTGAAAATAGAAAAAAAATACTCGAAACTACATATCCAAGACTGAAAAGAAATTCAAAATGAAATGCTATCCAATTTTAAATTATGAAAATGAATGTAAACAAAATATTATTGCTTAAACTCTCAGAAAAAATAAGTAAAAGTACACAGAATCAGAATCATAACAACATTAGGTTAGGTTTAACAGGATGTAAGGACCAACCTGGTAGTATCGTGTGATGATAGCGATGAAGGCAATATATTCAGAAATCGCATAAAGTACTTCACATGCTGCCGATGTGCTAGTTCTGTTAAATTCTCGTTACTCATTTCTACAGTTTGATATCCAAAATCAATCTAATAATAAATCAAGAAGTGTGTATTATTAAATAAAAATATTTAACAGTAATCGGTGCGGGCCGTTGTACAGTTGTAGTGTTTATTCATTTGATTAATATACTATGATTTATTTTACACATTAAATTTAATAAAAATGTAAAAACTGAAACGTTCGTCCTGCTTCGTCAAGTCAAACAAACGTCAGATTGACAACTGAACTGACTGATACGAAATTGTGGAGTGTCCGTTTTTATCCAGAGTGATAACATTTTTATAGTCCGAAACAGCCCTTTCACAAAATGATTGAATAGAAAGTATTTTAAGCAAAGGAATTAATATTTTTTTCAGAAAAGGGTAGCCTATGTTGGTGTCAAATGTGTAAATCCGCCATTGAATACAATGTAAAAGATGGTAAAAAAAAGAGCGTTGGATTTTTTAGTGGCAGTATTAGTCCAAAAAGGTTGAGATTTGGGAACCTTCGCAGCGGGTGATTGAGAAAAAATATTGCACGAATGATTTCAACAACAACAAACAGAAGTCAATAGTTTGAAACTTAATTTATTCTTGTTATTCTTCGGATAAAGTTTTATTTTTATTTTTATCGATTATTCAATTGCTCATATTGAATGAATCTATAGTTTGTGACAACTAGAATTATGAACATCACTACACATTTGTCGATGGTTCTTTTTCATGGCTGACGTTCGTAGGACCAAACCGCAGTCATGAAGGTTTAAATTTATTTATTTGTAAATGTTACCAAAATTCCACTAAAATATAAATCCTAGACGATTCACAACTTATTGAATTCTCTATTTGCATAAATGTGCTGCTGATTACTGTTACGATTTGTGAGATATTATTTGATAAGTTAGGCCGTGTTGTGGAGAATGAACTTTCATTCAGTGATTCTAAAATTCATTGTGAATTTATCCAAGTCTTAGGGTTAATGTAAAGTTATTGAGAGTGTTTCTTAGCGATTTATGGAGTAAAGTCCCCAAGGATTTATGTTTGAAGTGTTTGTTTCATTGTTTATAACCTATAAATTGTTTTGTAGCTGAACGTCTCGTTCCCGGCGACGGGATGCCAGAAGTTATTCGAAGTGGTGGACGAGCACAAGCTCCGTATCTTCTACGAGAAGCGCATGGGCGCGGAAGTGGAGGCTGACCAGCTAGGCGATGAATGGAAGGGCTACGTGCTCCGCGTTGCTGGCGGTAATGACAAGCAAGGGTTCCCCATGAAGCAGGGAGTCCTTACAAACAGTAAGTACTCTTACGTTATCTTCTGTAGTTAATTTTTTTATGAGTTTAGCTTCTTGATCATTGGCTGAGAAGTTGTCAAACAATTTACATTCCTAAGTGTGGCCTGCATGCTATTTATTATAACACCAAGACCTTACAGTCAGTCAGTTAATGCATAACAATAAAAAGCTATGAATTATGTTTCTTTAATAAATTTGCCATGCCATATTTTTTACTTATTTCAACTATTGATAGAATTTTCTGTAGCAACATTGTTATTTACTGTATTATTTCAGGCCGTGTCCGTTTGCTGATGTCCAAGGGTCACTCTTGCTACAGACCACGTCGTGATGGTGAGAGGAAACGCAAATCAGTCCGTGGCTGCATTGTTGATGCTAACCTCTCTGTATTGGCTTTAGTTATTGTCCGCAAGGGCACCCAGGTAAATATTATTAATATTACATGCTGATTATCAAAATTTTGGAATTTTTACACTTCTCCCTGTTCTTACTGTTTTCAAGATCTTCAAATCTTGGTAATTATATGCGGCAGGGTATATTATCATGGTTTTTAGGACCTGTCACTGTAACATTAAAGTGTCAAGACATTATCCTTTGAGCCAAACATTTATTTACATTATCTACAAATAAACTAAATTAGTCTTAAACAATCAGCCACTTAACTATCATAATATTGAATTACAGGAAATTCCCGGTCTTACCGACGGCAATGTTCCCCGCCGTCTTGGACCCAAACGTGCATCCAAAATCCGCAAGCTGTTCAACTTGAGCAAAGAGGATGACGTCCGTCGCTATGTTGTCAAGCGCCTCCTCCCCACCAAGGCAGGCAAGGAGAACGCCAAACCCAGATATAAGGTAAGATCCTCATTATTTGCTATTTTGTCCCTGATTACATATTGGTTCCAAGTTTATCTATAACTTGGAGACAGCAGCATCAGGGCAAATCAATGGCACCGAGCAGAAGACTCAGGCTATTATGCCTGTCTACTTTTACAGTGTGCTGAACATTATTTATTTCGACAAATATAAATGTGTATATAGATTTTTGACAGCTATGCTTTGAACTTAGCTGTTCTAAGTGAAATTACCTTAGAAGTCCTGTACTATGTACCACCACAGAGATTTTATCTTATACCGTATGTATTTTTCTCTAGGCCCCCAAAATCCAGAGGCTAGTGACCCCTGTAGTACTCCAGCGCAGACGTCACCGTCTGGCACTCAAGAAGAAGCGTCTGGCTAAGCGCAAGGCCTCCGAGGCCGACTACGCCAAACTGCTGGCTCAAAGAAAGAAGGAGTCCAAGGTACGTAACTGCTTCTGCAAACGGTACAGATTTTGAGACTGATTCTGAAAACTGGAACTACTTCGGACAACAAACAACTAAAATCTGTCAAACTCCATACAAAAAACAGCAGTTATAGTTATGGTAAATCTCTACCTTATCTAATAAAATATTTGCTCTGGATTAATCAGAATCAGACTCAAAATTAATTAAACCACAAAGGAGGCTGACTTGACGTCTCCTCTGTGGTTTGGTTGCTTACAGTTTTTTATTTTAGTGTCTAACCTGTGATTATTATAAAGCCAGTTTATAATCAATTATTTTTTTGGATAAATGGTTGTGTGAAGTTGTTTTTGTTTTGGGTAAACATAACATGGTTTTATTTTTATGGTATTTCCACAAGAGAATAGAATAATTCAAGAATAAGGTTGTAAGATCAACAACATAATTGAGATCTGAACAAAACCTCCAAAATTGACATTATTATTTTTACTGATTTTATTAAAATAAAATAAAAACTCAAAGATGTTGTTAAACTTCTGCTAAGCTGGAGTGTTAAAGAATGAAGATTTTAGAATAATATTGCATCTTCTAGGTATACAAAATAATGCTTCCTGGAATTAACTCAAATCAAACTTACACTAATTCCATCATTAGTTAAAATAAAATTAATTAATCAAAGAAAGACAAAATCAAATTAGAATTACCTTTCTCGCCATAATCTTAAATGTGAAGCAACTTGAAAGAACTTGTGAAGCCTATTATAGTATCATGCTCACAAATCACACAAAAAACACAAAATGTCGGCTTTATAATGTCAGTGGTTCCACAGCAGATACCATATGACCATCGCTTTATGTGTGGGAATCGTATTTGGCTGTAATAGCAAGGTGCTGTGTCTTACCCCTTGGTTTATGCTTGATATGGGCTAAGGTATTAAATCAGCGACAAGTTTATTTTGCCACTTTCAACTCGCAGATATAATAGACATCTGTCTTGTAATGTAAGTACGATTTTATTTGCCGAGTTTATTATATCTGTCACAGTGTTTGTTTCCACATGTTTTTAAAAATATTAAACATTGTGTGCGTTTGGCGGAAAATAGAAATTGGAAGCGCAAGCAAAATGGCGATCGCTACGGCAGCCACGTGTAGTCGTGTACCCATTGTAAATTCAGGATGTAGACTTGACATGTGTAAACACACAAGAAAGTGGTAGAAAGGATGTTTAACTTACATTAATTAATTCCAACTTGTCTATTTACTCTTTCTAACATTCGTAACTTTGTCGCAGGTCCGCCGCCAAGAAGAGATCAAGCGCAGGCGATCGGCTTCGATGCGTGACTCAAAGAGCTCAGACAAGAGCGCGCCTCAAAAGTGATCATCTTACTTTTAACAATATAAAAATGTAAAAGCTATTTGTACTTCTTTTATTCCTAGCAGCTACAACCTACACAACTACAGCGCATAGCTGAGTATTGGAGGAATAACAAAACACATCTCCCGCCCGTACCGCTCTACTGCCTCAGCTATGCCCTGTTATACCCACCACTCACTTGACCTCTTATCTAGTATAATGATGCTCAAGACGATACTTGTTTAGATAACAAAAGAAACCAGCCAAAAAGTAGCAAAACTGTAAGTATTCAGTCTACTACTAGTTTTACAGTCGATGGTAGCACAGCACTATTTGTTGGTGGTGCAAGAGGGATTTAAAAATACCCTTTGCACCACCAGTGGTGCAGGCCGGTGGTGCAAAGGGTACAGAAGGTCGAAAAACATGTGCGTGCCCTTCGACTTTGAGAGGCCACTGTGGAAAACGAAGTCTCAACATTATCGATACTATGTGCGAAGAACTATCGATACTGCTATAGATGATGACCTACACTGAATTGTCCCACCAAACCATCCAAACTCATTGACAGAGGGGCGCCACCATCGTTTTCCACCATGGCAAAAATCGGAACCAGCGATCCGTTATTGACGGTGGTCAATGTGACGGATGGGACAGTTCATTGTATTTGGGTCCTTATAGCATACATTATGTAGCTTATCACCACTACATTATTATTCTGTGCCACTACATAGCCCACTATCATTATGGAGGGCTTGGAGCAATACCAATATAGTTCCAAAATACTGAACTGTCCTATGCATGACATTGACAGTGGGGCGCCACCGTCAATACCGGATCGCTAGTTCCGATTTTTGCCATGTTGAAAACCATACCACCAAACTCAATGACAGGGGGGCGCTACCATCGTTCAACTATATGGTTTCCAAGATGGCAAAAATCGGAACCAGCGATCCGGTACTGACGGTGGCGCCCGCCCATGAAGCTACAGATAAACAGATAAAAATGGAGGCCACACTCCGAATACCTACTTGAAGCACAAACTAAGTATCACTATCTCGCTCTCTGTGGGCAGACTCGCTCTTTCTAAATAAACAAAAAATATAAAATTGCTCAAATTCAATGAAACCAATGTAAAATCTTTATTTCTTGACATAGGTATCATTAAAAATGATAAGTGTAATTACTGGTAAAACGTTTTAGGAAGAAATTACTGTAAAAAATGTGAAAAATGTTTACAATGATCCAATGTCGGAAATCACGAAATAAACACTTACGCGTAGAATCTTATGTCACTTCCAGGACACCACGTACTACCGCAACCACGCACTACAAAATTTTGCACCAATTCTTGTGATAAAACAATGATTATTTCCTGTAAACAATCTCAAACGAAATTAACTGCCTAATAAACAAAATAGTAAACAACCGCCATGATGGGCCGGATTGGGCCGATGTTGCCACATGGTACCGATTACCCAGGAATTGGGATTGTAATTCCCTGATTCGCCAACACATTAAGCCTAAATGGCCGACAATTTTGTGATTTTTTATTTAACCCTTCATTTGGCAAGACACAAATTGTTTGATTTTTTCAATAAAATACACTGTGTAGGTTTGTTGTCGACACGAAAAGAAGAAGAATAAAATATATTTAGACCTAATTGTTACTATCAAATAAAGTTAAGAAAAATAGTAAAAAAAATATTTTGTTGGTATTTTCGCGAAAAACGATTGTTGCTTATTTACCACATTGCCAAATAGGGGTACTTAAATAAAACATTGAGATATATTATAGAATTATTTTTTTTATATGAAAATCTTAAAAAAATCAATCGTATTTCACATTTTATGCATTAAACTTTTTTTTGGCCATTTTCGCAAAGTCGACAATGACCTTTTTCACCAACATTTGATAGATGACGCATGTCATCATACTTCACGATCAATATGCCGAGCTAAGATTGGCTTTTTATTTTCTCTTTAGCTTCTGAAACTGGTATGTTACCGTTATCTGCTATAGTTGTTGACTTTAACGCAAGAAAAATGTGTTTATCATTTAAATCAGTTCAGCGGTATAAGTGTGAAGACAGACAACACAGAGACAGACAGCAAATTCTTCCCCTCTCCTAAAATGCTGTGCCCGACAGGGTCCATAATTGCATCAAAAGTAATTACTATACCATCTCTATATCATTATTCATGTAATACATGATTGATTTATTGTGTATTGACACTCTTTTGTATTAACAAAAAGCTAAACCTATTTTGTTAGATGTTTGGCACTGATGCTTCTAGGCAACATCGAGGTTCGGAAGCATGTCATGTATTAGAAAACATAGTTTCTACGCCAAATATTGCTTTATATGATTAGTTTGATTTATTATGAATAAAATTTAGACAAAACAAAAACAATTAGAGATGATAAAATAGTACAAAATCATAAAACTTCCGTCTTTGTTATTCTCATTGCGCGTCATCTTGGCGTCTGACAGAAATATTGATATGAAATCACTCAAAACTCAGTCGACGACCGATTTACTAGTGTTTTGCTGAACTAAGCTTTGTAACAAAACCTAATGATTTGCACAAAACTTATTATTTGGTGCTGTAGAAATATTCAAAGTGGTTGTTGCTTAAAAGCATCACTGCCAAATGAAGGGTTAACTAGGTAATCTTTGTTTCAAATATTAATTATTTATTTGTTTAACTTCTGATTTGGTTAGTGAATTGGCTATTTCGAAGAATTTACAAGGAGATTTAAATCAGAAGATAGCAATACTACAGTTCACACTAAAAAGAGAGGTAGGGCCGCAGAGAGCGAGATAGATATAAGTAGGTATTTGACTCAAGTTTTTGTTCCAACTTTGCCCTCCATTTTTATCTTTAGCTTCATGCGCCCGCCCACTGTCAATGTCATGGATAGGACAGTTTATTTTGGAACTAGGGTAAACTGCCAGTCAAGAAAGTTATTGGACAGTTAGGTATTTACTGAATTAAAAACAGCATTTCTATTTCAACAACTGAGAGATTCCGACTGATGGAGATAAACGGGCGTTTTTTTAAGGAATACTCATTTTAAGAAAATTCAAGGGCTGTTTTATCCAATGACTGTCGGTTTACCCTATATAGATGACCCACGCTGAACTGTCCCGCCAAACTCAATGACAGGGGGGCGCTACCATCGTTCAACTTTATGGTTTCCAACATGGCAAAAAACGGAACCAGGGATTTGGTATTGACGGTGGCGCCCCGCTGTCAATGTCATCGATAGGACAGTTCAGTATTTTGGAACTATATCAATAATATTGTGATGATTTCTAACAGTTTTTGCGTGATAGCACAGAATAATAATAACCTACGTGATAGTAGGTAGGTATCGATAGTATTTCCGCTGTCAAGTTTTACTCGAAATGCCCTATCGAAAGTATCGATAAAACACATAGCGATACTATCGATTTATCGATGGTTCCGCAACACTTTTCATATACATATTTATCGATTTTTTATCAGAGCTGCAGACTAAGATCTAGTTTAAAGTAGACGTGTGAAACTGGCTCATAACAAAAAAGCTCCAACTTGGAAAGGGAATAAAAATAGAAACAGTTTATTATAATTCAAAATGTTGCATGTATTAAATAAAGCGATAAATAAATTAACATTATAGACAGACAATACGACGAATTTCACAGACTTTCACATCACTTGACACGCACGCACAAAATTTAGTTCTTTGGAGTCTTCAGCAGGCCTAAACCGACATATCGCGCCATTACTCGTAGATACGAGGGGTTCAGTTTCTTCCTCTTTTCCAAGAGAGACTTCAGAAGTTTTTCAGACGCCTCATTGAAGGGCTTTTGGTAATCTGAAGCCTGGAAATAAAAACGTAATAAGTACGGGCTCATCAAAGTTCTCCCGTGTTTTTTGTCCCTAGTCCCTACTTCTTATCCTAAGCAAAAAACACACAGTTGCGGTAAGGCCTGGTTCAGACACGCGCGGTTTCTGGGTGGTTCTCCCACGGTTTCCACGTCCCCATTCCGGCATTCATGATGCATAGCAACTCGAAACTTACAAAATCACACCTCCGTGAACGCGGGTCCTGCTTACCTACTGCCTCAGTGTGTTTTACGCGATACTCCGTTGGCCTACTCACTCAACTCAAATCGTGCTATAGCTACCGACGAAACTCACCGTTGTCTTCGCAATCCAATACAATTCTTCCAGAAGATTGTCATGGTTCTCTATCGACTCATTTATGTATGAGATTCCGTCATACTGCAAATACAAAAAGAAAATAAAATGACGGTAGCCGAAGAAAATCGTTCCCGCGCTAGTAGATGTTCTATTTTATCAACCTGATTTACCTGTGAAAATTTATTGAAATGCTCTCTTTCTATGACTTCTATTTCCATGTCCAGCTCAGAAGCTCGTGTTATCCTGTTAACAGCTATGCCCTGCAGCAGTATTGGTCGGAATCTCACCAAGTTGGGCGTATCCTTTTTATTGGTCAACAAGAGAATCAACATCGCTTGCCTTTGACTTATCTCCGTGATCCAGTTTTTCATCTGCAATAGATTAAACATGTAATTTTTTCTTATCGTTCCATGGAAATTGATTAAATTCGAAGCTAGGGTACTTACCTCGATTATTGAAGATAGTATCTTCTTTCCACTAAACCCATCAAATACACTGGATAATATTTTGCCAGATCCTAGAGCTTGGAAAAAATCATCTAAGTTAATAATCTTACTCAATGAAGTACTGAACCTCTCCCCCGATATGTTGGACGTGGATTTGCATTTTTTGTAGAGTTTTACATAACTTTTCTTCTTAGTTTTGCCCTGCAAAGTTTGCTTTTGGGCCTTTTTAATCGAATTATCGTTTTCGGTGTTATGCTTGTATTCTATAGCTTTGAGCGGAATTGCGTCATTGTCACGTTTCATAAATCCATTGTAAAGTGAATCAATTTTAATATTTCCAATAACTGTAGACGTTCCATCTCTTTTGGCTGCTTCGTAGTAATCCCTGTTACTTAAAGTAACTGTTATTTTGTTGTTATCTAAA